GTACATGATAGTTCTAGAAACGTTGCGTCATAGTGTCATGTGACTCGCTGACGCAACAATACCATACTCTCTCAGTATAGAGTTCCTTCAGATTAACATGAAGAATTCAAAGTATCTTTTTTATTATCTAAAAGCAATGTCTAGTGCTTAGAGTACTCGTTTATTTTGAATTTTGCTGTCATATTTTGTTTAATAATATGTTCAGTCTGTTTTTTTTAAGTGGGTCAAGTCGAATTTTCAGTTTTAACTTTGTAGTATGTTTCCTGATCCAACTTTATTTGCAATGGTATTCTTACCTGTAAAATAATTAGTGAACTTGAGAATACCATGTGCTTTGTTATTGCAGAATTTTCTGGTATTTCATAAGTGTATTTTTCGAATTCTTATGTACTCTTGTGTAACATTAGTTTCATCAGTTGGTAAAACTTCAAAATGAAATTGTATAGATGATGGACTTATACAAACATGGAGAAGTTTGACATTGATTAAGCCATAATCCAAGGGAGAAGTAAGGTTTAGGAGAACTTTTCTCCTGGACATAAGCCTTTCACTGATTTTGAAAAGAGCTATTTCTTCAAGCTCGATTCAGCCAAAGTTTGGAAGAAGAATCATATATTGTAACCTCCAGAGCTGCTGATCAGGTTTTCTCCTGAATATCATCCTCGAATCACAGAGGCCATGGATGGCCAAAATCAAAGTGATTTTTGAGCTGGAGGCCTCAGAGCGAGATGATGGGTCTCTATAGAATGCCTAGATGGTTTCCAATCAGTGCATCTCCACCCTAACCCTGATCATTGTCACCCAACACTACTTGAACAAGATTAGAGGTGTCACAGGAGGGCGAATTCCACTAATCAGAGCAGCACCAGAAGTATTGAATGATAACAGTGGTGACATGTGGGCAGATGAGAGATGAGCGGTGTATTGCTGGAACAACAGTGGGTTATATAGGACCCTGGAGCCAAGTAGAGCTGGAAGGAGAGATCTCTACAACAACTCATCATTTTACTAGGTAACCCAAGAGCCTGAATGAAATGTTTATCTGAATGTAGAAGTACCTAAGCATTAAACCAGCCCTGTGACCCTGACGTTATGGGTGTCAGTCTGGTGTTAACCAAAACATCACTAGAGATGTCTTGGTTCCATGGCCACAGGTTCCTGCGAGCAAAATGAAGTCGATTGCACCTCCAGCATTCAAGGGTACTGCCAAATAAGATCTGGACTGCTTGGAATGTTTGAACTGAAGGACAGATGGTACAAAACTTATTGCTGAGTCTTGATGGATTAATGATTAACTCAATTGAGCACTTAGACGAGGAAAAGCTCAGTATCTGTTGCAATAAATTAGCAAAAATTTTTTGACCTGATGGAGAACTGAATTACCAAATAGCCTAAGTTTGAGCCTCAAAAGAGAGGTCACTCAGAGAGCTTATCTGCTCATGTAGATGACTTGCATCACCTACATGGGAAGGTACATCCCAGCATGGAATCAACAGCTCACAGAGATATCCACATGGAAAAGTTTTTTGGAGTTACTTGGATGTTAGGGATATCTAACATGTACTGTAACCTCCAGAGCTGCTGAACAGATTCTTCCCCTGAATGTCATACTCGAATCACAGAAGTCATGGATTACTGAGGGTTAGCAAATTGATTTGTGGGCTATAGGCCTCAGAGCATGTTTAGAGATATCTATAAAATGCCTAGAGGTAGTATCTGTGGCAACTAGTTTCAAAGTGGCAACTTTGAGCAAGTTGCAGGAAAGAAGGAAGCCTGTAGAAATAGTTTTAATGGTTGTGCCTTGGCCAGAACACCGTCCTTAGATAGTTGTATCATGGTAAACTCGTGTTATATTATAGGATATTCAGCTACAGACACATTCCAGCACTATGATGACAAGGCCTCCTATTGTGGTTGTGCCATAGCAAATCCCAATGATTCCCCCATTCATACATCACTCTTGAAGGGGAGACCAAGCCTTGTCTGTTTTGATTGTGTGCTATTTGTGCACTATAGAGTAAACTGCCCAAATCTTGTCCTTCAACAAGCTAAGTGAAACCACCCATTCTGTCTGACTGCTCATTTTGGGTTTGGACACTTTTCTGGGTTTTGCAGTAGTCAGCTTGCGTCAAAATGTTTGATGATGAGACTAGTTCGTTCAGGGCTAGGTGGTGCATAGTATGTGCCAATAAAAGTACACAGAGGTGAGGTTGAGTTTCTGGTTAAAAATGAATAACTAGATGTGAATGGAGGGCACATCTCTGGTTACATCTACATAATGTCACCCATGGGGCAAAGGTAATTGTTTCTGATCTTGGTTCAAGTATTGGAACCTTGGGAATAAACCTACAGTGTAGATACATTATTTCCAATAAATTATGTGTTATTATTTTTACGTGCATTGCTTGAATATCATAACCTTATAAATAATATTCAATAAATAAGACTTTGAGTTATCAGAATATTTCAGAATGAGATAATCTAAAAATATCAATAAAACAATTCCCAGATTTGTTATTTGCTGCTAAATCTTATAAGCTATAAGTTAAACTTCGCTGTTCTTCTTCTTTGTATGAGTTAGGTCTTGTAACTTCCCATGAAACCCTAAATTACTTCCCACACCACTTCTTTCAATGTACATTGAAGTAAATATTGTATAACCTGCTCTATCCAATAGAATTTAAACATTGCCTATAGATCTTCTTCATTAGTAGTTTGTTCCCACCATTTTATTGCTTCGTAGCATTCGATGTTAACAGAGGATGATAGTTTCTTCACAAATAAATACCTATGCTTTGAGATCGGCAGAAAATTCGAAAGAAAGTCGATAAGTGCATTGTTTACAGGCGAGATTCCACGGAGATATACATAATTGTAACTTCTAACATGTTTACATTTTCTTTGCGAATTACATTAAATAAATGGCAATATATCAATTCTAAAATATAACTAAGTAAAAACAATAGTTGAAATACTGTTATAATAAAATAATATTTTTTATTTTATTTTGAAATTTGATATGTAGTCGTGCAATTGACACCTAAAATGTGTTCACCAGTTGTAGTAAAGTTAAATCTAATGTAATATCACCATCTGCTACAGTTATGGAACCAATGCGTGAAATACGCTGTTTCTTATCCAGAAACTAAGCTGAACTTACTCAATCAGTCATCTGTCCGAGTTGT